ATAGGCAGGGGAGTGATTGGGGGAGTCTCGCCCTCGAAGGGAGCACATGGAGAGGAGTAAGGGAGGGTACACGGACTTTGCCAGTCAGTAGGTGCATTTCGCCCGCCCCCTCACGGGGTTCGGTGCTCTGCTGCCGCAGTGACATCGGTATATACACAGCAGTGCAGCGAGCAGCTGCCTTACTCATCAGCAACGAACGGCAGTTTGACGCCTGGGAAGTCGCAGTTTGACGCCTGGGAAAAGTCGCCGCGGCAAAGGAGGGAAGGTCGGCGGGATGAGGCGAAGGGGTACACCTAGTCTCCTGGGAGCCTGGGGGTGTGAGTCTTCGCTTCGGAATGTCGACCCTGGGTGGCAGCCCGAACCAACCTTGAACTCTACCTCCACCATTTTTTTTTTTTGCACCTCTCACGTGTCAACGGGCACACGCGGTGCGATTTTTTTCCCGTCAAAACCCTCAACCGTCACTTTATGTTGGCGTCAATCCTCAAAGGTCAAAATTCCGCGTCAATCCATAGTGGATACCCTATATTATAGAAAGACTACCCATTCGAGATATACCGCATACAGCAGTGGCATGTTTTTTCTTTCTTTTGAAATGGGCCACTTCCTTACTGCTCGTGCCTGCATCGAGCAGTGCGTGGTTGGGGCACAAATACATGTTTTGAAGAGCAGGCCGTCAATCTAATACTACAGCAGTAGAGGTGCACAGGAAGACGCATTCACGAACGGCCGGGGTTACCAATAAACAGCAGCAGTTCCACTGGGGCACAATACAAGTTCGGAACAAAGAGTATTAATACAGTAGTCGACTGGAGGGACAAAAATTGGATGCTGCACACAGCAGTAGGCCACACGAGATCTTACAGTACCAGCATTGCTTGTCCGTTCTATTGCAAGAACTCCTTGATTCCAGAGGTTGGAAGCTTGCTTCGGTCTGCTCCTCCGCGTGCCCCCTGCGGGGGAGGCTCCGCGATTTCGGAAGGTTATTGTAGAAGGCATGTTACATTTTTGTCCCGCTCAGACAAACGTCTTCCCACAAGTCATCCGGTTGTCGCGGTCGATGCCAATTAGAAAAACACACACGCACTATATCTTAGCATTGGTGGGTCGGTGTTGGTTGGGGAGGGTGACCCAAGAACATGTATTCTCAGGGGGGGGCGGGGGGTCTCTCCTTCCCTCTCTCCCCAAGACAAGAAAGAAAAACTGTCTCTCTCGCCCATGCATGCCTTCTTCTCTGCGTGGGAGGCATTGGCAGTAGCGGAGCCGGACGATTTCTGGGGAAGCACGGAGACATCACACGAGCACTATATACGAACCGCGCCCGACACCCAGGAAGGTTAGGGTTGGCGCTGTTTGCAGTCGGAAGACTCTGCTATTGTTTGCTTTTTGGCACACACGCACACACAACACACACCTGCCTCTGCTTTCTCTCCTCTCATGTATGCCAAGAGGACGATCGCTGCACGTTGCACACTACTATAGCGCTCTACAGCGGTGTAGCTGGGTGTCTGACGATCTCTCTCTGCGTGCATACATTTCCACCTACGCGGTACGCGAATGGCGCAAAGAAAGGCACAGAAAACAAAAATAACATCACCTCCCCGCCCAACCACCACCGAACAGCACTACAACTTGCTCAAGGTTTGGCTGTCCGTTCAAACACTTGGATGCAGCGACGTTGCTAAACCGTGCCTTTGCACAACGTACACAGATGAACAGCGAAACACAGAAGCCATCCAAGGGCAACGACGAAAGGCACGGTTGTGGTGACAACTCCGGGGCATTATTTTGACCAAACGATCGCGCGCGCATCGCGAGCTTAGTGCGCATTCTCGGCGCCAACACGAAAAGGGCGCCGGTTTCGTGTGTTAGTACCCGCCCTTTCTTTTGAATCAACTCTGTGGTTGGCTGTGTTGTGTTGTTTACCCATGAGGTGCTAGTCTTGGGGCATACAACTTCCATGAAAAACCGATAATTGGTCTGGTGTACAACGTCCGTGGTGAACGTTTACGGGTGCCGTGGGTGTTGCGGTGAGAAATAATTCTTAAGCCACCGCTCGACGCAGATAGAAAAAATGCCACGTCGAGAACCAGTAGGAAACCCACGCCACCGATGCCAGCAGTACTATTTACCTTGTGTTTTGCGCTTTTATCGAGTACCATTTTGTCTCCATCTCACCGCTGGAAAGCAACATTGGTCTCCTACTGGCGGGAAGCACATCACGCGTCTTTCTCTTGGAAGGCGGTGTGTGTGTGTCATTGTCATCAGGCGACACGAGACACGAAAATTCGCACTGCGCACACAGCACGAGACACGCGTTGGATCAAAAAAAAAGAAAGAAAGAAAGCCGATCGATCCAACCGTGCGACAATCATACTTCTGCAATCAAGCACCAAACAGTCACCGCGGTACACAAGAAGCGGCTATTGGTTGACGGCGGTTACAGTACTCCTAATTAGTACTCCTAATTGGGTGGTGATAGTGATATTATGTGTAGTGTGATAGTGATGACGGCCCTCTCGTTGGGAGTTCCCTGATGTGGTCGTTGCCGTTCGCCGTTGCTGTTCCTGCCTCTGCGTGTGGTTTTGACGTTGTCTTGGTGCCGCCAAAGGTTCCCAAGGCAGGTTCGACATCGCCCTCTACGAGTGTGGGGACGCGTTTTGCGGGCAGCAGGACTGCGGCACCTTCCTACAGGAAATCTGCGACATGCCGGGGTGAGAGGTGGTGCATGCAAGCACAGGAACCTGGCCCCAGGAATTAAATATATGGCTGCAGCACTCTTAGCCCTTCGCCCCTCGCCTATTTTGTCGCTAAGCAATTCAATCCAACCACTTGACGGCCGTTGGCCCACTTCTTTTTCTTTTGTTGTCCATCCATGGTACAAGGCACCTCGCAATACCTTAATATCATCTGATGGTGTCGACGTTGTTTGCTTGTCCGCGTGGGACCCGTCGAACGATCAGTGCTGGCTGCATGGATGGGTCGGGGACCTACCGGATGACAGTGCCGGCTGAACTCCCCGCGGGCAACGGCTACAAGATCCGGTGCGGGCATGTAGAGTATTGAAGGGTATGTAGGGCATCGAAGCATAAACCTCGCCTGCGTACACGATGGTGTGTGCTGCGGTGTTGTGTCAGGGGCGCTATGATAGTGTCTCCCTCTCGCGTGAGCGGTCGTAGAGATATGGTGTTGGGACGGTGGTCAGCGCCGGCGTTTGGTGCATGCTAGTGTACGTTAGATGTGTATGTGTGTGCATTCCTGGTTTTCGCAATGGCGGTGTTTGCTGAGGCACAAGCTGGGTATCTCATACGATACTGCTACTTCAACATCCAAAACAGGTTCCGTTGGTTGAGTCCCGTCTTGATTCATTAACTGCTGGTGTCAAATGTCACCTGTCGGATACTGAACTTCATGTTGGATGTCGAACAGAGCATCTCTAGCTCATTCTTTAATACAATGTCATTGAAAGCTGAACGTTGATTGATGATTTGACGATTCGTATAGTGTTTGACGCTTGAGGGTATTCATTGTGATTGCTATCGTCGATATTGGCGCTGAAAGACGGCGCTGAACGTACCGTTTCACAATGACAGGGTTGGCTTGCATGACTCGTCTCTGTATGACTGCTCCTCCACCTTCTCCATCATCCGGACCATCCCCATCCCATCAATGGAGGTATGTGCCTCTTGCGTTAGCATGAGCAACTCGCTCAAGTTTTGGTCGGGCGTCTTGGCCTTGCTGTTCCGTGCGCTGGTTTGCTTCTAAAGTGCGGTAGAGCTAGTAGGTGATATACGCACGCGTTTGATCGATGTGACTTGAATCAACTTGTCAGGAGTGTTTCTGGACACCAGTGCTGTTACGAATAGCAGACAGGCGGTATATGTTGATATCATAAGATCACCATATGCTTTTACTTCGTGGAACGTCATAAAACGAAGTCCGAAGCGAGTAAACGGGCACGAGTTTTCCAGACAAACAAGACAAGAGAACGTCATTGCACCAAGGTACCGGCAGACCATGTGCACAAGTCTATTCGTTTCTAGAGCCGAAATGTGCTCACAGTCTGGCCGTTTTATTCCGGCGGACCTGTTGTACTGACTCTGTGCACTTGGTGTCTGTGTCTGCTGTACTACAATAATACAATAATATCTACACCGACGTTGTTTACAGGTTTACGTCCCTACAGTGGTGGACGGTGGTGAGGGCAACCTGGATGGATACGGTGGGGACGACGATGACGCCTCCTTGACTGTGGAGGAGAGCCTTAGCTATACAGCGGTGGGTCGACCATGCTGGCAGTGCACCGGATACTTTGTACCGAAATTGTTTATGTATCGCCTTGGGCCGTCCAGCAGAAAATGCCATAGTATGGGCGGGTACTTGTAAGACGAGGCCTGTCCGAAACGGCAGGCAGAGTGCCATGATTGCTATGGATAGCACAGGATAGGTGGTTGCTTCGTCGGGGTGTGGTGTGCTATTGCGTGTGATCGCACACGCCACTCTTCTATGGCGACTCTCTTATGTCCACGTACATCGTGCTGCCTGTTCTCGCGCTGAGACGCTGAGGATGTTCCAGAAGTGTCTTGTGTGTTGGGCATGTTCTTGGTGGTGCGCAGCGTGCAGCTTCGTGTCTCAAGTCTGGTGTAGTACGGCGGAATTCCTCTGTTTTCTTGTCTGCATGGCTGTTGCGGTGTGATTTCCGTCTGCAAGGATCCGTGAAGGCGGTGCTATTCATGAAGCCGATATTCTGATTACGGATGCCCGTGTTGTTTACGAATGTGGTGGTCTCGTTCGTCGTGGAGCAGGGCAGGCGGGGTCTTGCGTCGTCCTCTTCGACATCGAGCGATCCGCAGCTGTACGATGAGGGAACAACGGCCGGCTTTGCGGCTGCAAACGACACCATCATGGCCTCGTGAGCAGCTAGCTGTTGCTAACCTCTCAAGTTGCCGGCTACTGCGTCATCACGCACAAACGTCATTTTTCGTTTCATCTCGTCTCGTACACGGTTCTTGGTTGTTGTTTTTGAGACTGAGGGGAGAAAGCCTCTTGCCGCTTTGCTCTGTCGCTTATGCGATGGTTTATGACGACACTGCTAGAATCGATCTTAAGGAGACGAGGAGACGTCCGTGCTCACGTCGTGCCCCAACATTGTTTGGTTTGATGAACACGCTTCACGTGGCCTCTTATTGCGCTTACAGTAGGCTTGGCTCTGCCGGCCATATGATCATATTATTGTGCAAGTAGGTTGGACTCTATTTGACAGCACTGGGGACTCATCTTGACCAGGGTACGCATGTGACCTGCATATTTCTCTTGCAGTACATGATGCTGGATGCGCACTTCTCCTTGTGCGCGGTATATCGCAGTGGTTTTTGCGGCGTTTTCAATCTTTCGTGAACTAGAATGTGCCATAATTTGTGAATTTTGCTGCTGCATGTCGTTCGTTACCCACAAGGTGGTCGTTTGATGACGGCCTCGGAAGAACCTTCGCACGATTCAACATTGACCTGTACTACTGCGGCGGGGGATGCTCCATCACCGAAGACTGCGGGGAAATAGTCGCCAGGCTTTGCGAGGTGCGAAACCTCCCCCGTGATGTGTGATGGAGTAAAACCTGTAGTACACCACCATGCAGGTGGTACGTGGTACGATACCGAACGCGGTCACACTTTGAGTGAACCTCTTACTTGCCCGAGGCTCGTTGGTCTTACTGTGTTTCCTCCGAAGGGTAACCTATGTTCGTTTTTGTGTGGGAATCTTTACTCAGCGCCTGTTCTTATGGTCATGTTCAGGCCAGCTTCTTTAAGGTTGTCCTTTTCTTGAGCCTGGGGTTCGTCACTCGTAGGTTGTGAAAGGACGGCGCTTTCCTGAACCTCTCTTTCCTCGAGCCTGGGGTGTTAATGTACGGTAAGGTTGTGTGTCGAATTTCTCTCTCCTCTTTCGTTATTCTTTTTGACTGGTCTGTTGATGTGTGCGCGTTGTGGTGCAAACGCTGTACTATTGTGATTGCCGGTGGTTGAGGTACTCCTGCCGCCGTTGATGTTCATGGGTCGGCGTGGGTTGTCATCAATTCTCGCTGTTTCACGTCCATAGATGGGACATGGATGATGTTGCTATTGTTTCAATTTAGGCACCGTTGTGACTCTCTCCAGTGCCTATTAGTTGATGCTATTGTTTCAATTTAGGCACCGTTGTGACTCTCTCCAGTGCCTATTAGTTGATGCTATTGTTTCATTTTAGGCACCGTTGGGACTCTCTCCAGTGCCTATTAGTTGAACACCTAAGGGCAAAGAATCGAATTTCCATCATCATACGCCGACTCTGAGATTGGAACGACCGCTGGTGATGGGGCCATGTTGCTCATTTTGCCAGGCTTGCCCGGACTCTGACGGATCCGAGATGGTGACCTTGCCAAACGTGTACTCTAGCCACAACTACAAGATCCGCGTGTCGACATCGTCACGCATCCGCCGACCCGGGTCTTCGTGCTCACCCAAGTTCGAGATCAGGGGAAAAGATCGCCCTTTGTACTCTACGCCTTCTCCTACGGTACTCTACGACAGCAGTGACGTCAGCTTGTACCCCCGGCCCCCAGGTACGTAGGTGCAACAGTTACAGTTACCCCCGCCATCTGACACGGCCGCACACGATCGTCCAGAAGACCCAGCCCAGTTCTGGGACTGCAGCAGATTACGCGAAAACACGGTACGGCCACCTCAAGCTCTGCGAATGATACAGGCCGTGCCTGTTGACGAGAATGCGTGTGATGCCGCGCCATTGACTGGTATGTGTGCGTGGCTCATGCGACCAACCAGCAACGGTCCACCACACCACGCTATTACCACAATAGTCGCCATAGTAGTGGTGGTAACACCGACAGTCGCCACATAATGTCAAGTGATGATATGATGGTGTGATGGTGTGATTATGTGAGCACCATGGCGTCATAGATGACACCGCCGCAGATGGCCTCTCACTACCTCGATGATGGTGTCATTCACTGTCATGGTGCGCAGTTGGTAGGGTTGTTGTTGTTGTTGTTGTCTTCACATATAGGGTGATGATGGATGAAGTCAACACCATGACCACGGCTGCAACGGCGCCTGCAGGGTTTTTGACAAAGGATACGCACAATGGCTTGCGTCTTATCGTATCTCGCCAAAGGATAGCCTCTCAGTCTGGGTTTCGCGTCTTGCTGTAGTTGGTGTAGTCTAAGGACCATTCGTGCGACAGCCGCGTCAAGCGATCGTACGGCCACTCAATGTCTGGAATCTCTGAAACCGATTTGGTCGTTACTGGTGCTTCCCATACAATGACAAGTAGTGTACGGGTACATAAGAGCACCCAAACCAATATAATAGAGTTACTTGGAAACCTTTTTTTTGGGAAACGTTTTGGAAAAGTGGGCTTGTTTCAAGCAGACGAAGGTCCTGCATCCTCCGGTTCAAGTACATGTACGCATGAAGGCCTCAGACGCTTTTGTGGAAGATCTTTTTTTAATCCTTTTTTTTACCTTTTTTTGGACGTTTTCTTTCGTTTCGTGCAGTTACGGCGCCCCCTGTGGAAGACCTGCCTAGCGAGCCGGTAGTCCTTCCCACTATCTGGCCGGACTGGGGAGAAGAAAACTACGCCCCGGAGCAGCCAGGCTGCGACTCGATTGATGTGCCCCAAGTCCGTTACGCCTCTACGACTGCGTAAGTATTTTGGTCGATGTGTTGCGTAGAGAACATGATGGGTGAATGTGTTGCTTCGTGTCTTGCCTTGTCTGTATGGGGAGCCAAACTCGCAACATACGCTTACCGAGGCTATGCATAGAACGACTGAATCCTCACAATCAATACTAAGGCCAGCACCGCAGAAGCAACAAGGTGGAGAATGGCAAAATAACTCGTGCGACCCTGGCTGATGCGTCAAGAGCGTATACCGGAAGAGGGGGCACGACTGATGTCGAGAATCGTTGGGACGATAAGCCCATGTACACGCGCACACGACGCTCGACCTTGTGGTGTCACAGCAGTGGCATGCCTGGCATTATATCATCGGACCCAGTTGATGGTTACCATGCTGTTATCGCGTTTTTGCACCCGAGGGACCACACAATGAAGGTAGATCGATTTCGATTCCTCCGCTCGGCCGGGCGAAGGCCATGCGTGATAGATTGGTGCACGCCGCCCTCACAGAGGGCAGTCACAGAGGGCAGTCTCTCCCTTTTTTAACATGTGAGGCTGTCACGAGAATAAAAGAGGAGTGGGTGTTGACCGTAAGAGGTGAGGGATGAGGGTTAGGGTCGGTCTGATTGGGTAGCATAATTGTCTACATGTCGCGTCTCTCGTGCAGTAAGGTATACCACGGTCGTGTGCTAGTGCTAGGATGATCACTTTTCATGTTGCACGTTTTTTTGCAGCAGCTTTACTCTTGTTGCTCTTGGTTGCTTTCAACCCCACACCAGAGAAGTCGCTGTGATCAACCTAAACGGAAATGCTGTGGGTCTTATTGTTGGAATTTCCAGTTTCACCCACTCATGTGCAATTATATTTTTGTCGCGGCATTTAGGCGCATTTACGTGGAGCAAGCCACCAACAGGGGAGGCTGCTTCACGCTAACGGAGATCTGGGAGAGCGGGTCACGGCCCCTTTACCCACTGGAACCCGCCACGAACGAACGTGAGCCGCACTCTCTAATCATGTGCTGTCACCATTGGCACTGCTGCATTGTCGGTCTGGTCTGTGTCAATCTTATCAATCGTAACTGAGGTCGCCACGTGTACCATCAGCCCCGCTTCTACCCTACCAGGTACCGTTTCGATGTCTGATTACATATCTGGTTGTTTGATTGCTCTTTCTGTATTTGCTACTTCCTGCTTGTCCGTCGTGTTTTGTGATGTCGTTTCGGGTGCCACCATGCGGAAACAGCTAGACTGCTGGTGCGCTGCGCTGTATGTACGCCACCATACAAAAGTAGTAATATGCTGATGTATTGCTATCTATCGCCGTGCTTGCCATGCTAGTTGTTCGCGCTTCAGATGGCGACGCGATCCTATTGGTTTTTTAATTGCTGCTGTGCGAAGCCTTTTATTGTGTGTCTCGCATTTCTCTGATGCCACTTTTCTCGTTGATTCTGTGCTCCCATGGTTTTGGCTGCGCTGCCTTGTGATGCGCTGCTGTGATGTAATGGTCGATGGTTGGCAGGGGTGGATTATGTGACCGGCGTGTGGTTACTCACGGAAGAACTCTACGTGACTGACGGTGTCATCCTCCAGGTAAAGCACGTACTTCCATGGCATCTAGCACGAGTTGTCTTTCCGTACCATATCTTGCGGAAGATAACTCTCGTACTCACAACTGCTGTCGTGCCAGTGTTGCAGTCGGGTAACTTTGCGGAGGGGCGTGGGTTAAGCATTTAATTTCTTGCCGAGGGCACCGATGATACCAATGCGAACCTGAACCTTTCCCTTGACCTTATCCTTGGCAACACTACAGCAGTACCTCAGTAGATGCCTCATTTTCGCTGGTTTATGATCGCCCCGTTTGACACATTCTCTTGCATCCTTTCTCTTTTATCCCTATCGATGCGACAGCATCTATGTGAGTGTTGCTACTTGATTGCGAACAGCACTGCTGTATGTATTGTAGCAGCGTCCTCTCAGCAGTACAGTCTACCAAGGCACCCGTGCAGCAATATTGCAAGGGTCTTGTGACCGCAACCAGTCGTACCCTTGGTGAGCACTCTGCTTCTGCGATGCCTCTCCCCCCATTCTCTCCCAATGAGTCATGATGGTGGTCCAACCCACACAGTATTTTTGTGGCATGTCAAGTCTTGTTTATGGACGGTTTCCCAGATGCGTTCTGTCAACATAAGTTTTTTTTTTTACGGTGGTTTGGCCTAGTGTAGTTTCGCGTGTTTAATTTTTTCGGCTGTTTTTGCGAGCTTGGTTGGTGTTGTTGACGCTCATGATGACACACGCTGGTCTAGTCCATCAGTCCCAACACCTCGAACGACTCGAACTCGTTTGAGTTTTGGCGTTCTTCCTCTTGTGCTAACACTAAATGTTGAAAATTGCATAGTATTTCTTCCAGTTGCTGTTGTTCTTGTTGGCGGTCGTATTGCAGTACTGACGCTTTGGGTGGAAATTTCGAAATTTCCACGTTCTTCTTCTGACGCCTTGCAACAGGTTCACGGCACCGACAGAGGAGGCGACTGCGACGAGCTCCGTCTGTTGAGTGACGAGACCACTTTCATCAACCTCAGGGCTCACGGAGGAAGCTTCTCTTTCCTAGGAACAAAGGTACGGTAATGGTAGAGTATTCCCTGTTAAAGAACGCAGCGTGCAATGTGTCTGAGGCACGGTCTTACACGTGCTTTCAACTTTTCGTTCCGATGAGTACGCCATATGGTGCAGCCTTCTGTACTCGATAGAAGCAAGACAGCCGCTTGGCATGGTGGCGGTTGGGCCAGCGGCCTTCGCCAACAGGTGGTCACTGTCACGGTAACTCCCCCCTAAAGAGGCGACTTTCGCCAAGTTTTCAGCGGCTACATTGCAGCTGCTCACCTCACTTGACGATATCTTCAAAAGAGGCGGCAACAAGAGAGTAGACAAGGACCCAAAGACTGTCACACGCATGGAATACGCCAAGAGCCACGTGCCCCTCCCTACCCCTCCCTGTACCTACAGCAGTACGGCATGCGTTGGGTGCACCTGACAGTAGACCGATCGCAGAGGCAGTCGTGTTGGCTGGGATGTGATGGGATGGGCCCTCGTGACGTCCGTCGTTCACGATGGTTGGCTGGTTGGCTGGGGATGCGTTAACTGCACAATCCACAGTCTCGTAAACGGTCAAATATCATGCAATCAACGCGTTGCAAAGCAAACGGCGGCAATCAATGGTTGCGATACGATGCTTGCAGGTGGTGTCCTGGAACGAAGGCAAGGGCACCGTTGACACCAACCACGAGGACGGGCGGTCGTACATCTCCGCCGTGAGTGAGGTGATCTACGACCCAAACCAGACCTGCAACGGCACGGCCAAGGTATGGATTGGTACGGCATGGTATGGTGTGACAGCATGATGGCATCGCCTGGGTAGAATTTGCCGAGTAGTTGGATGGGGCATTGGGTGGGGTCCGGTTTGGTAGTCCAGGGTGGTTCATACTTGTCGCTGATGATTTTTTTTTAGTTCTGGGGTGTCTACTCTATTAATGGTCACACCCCACCCAATGCAGGGCGTCTCACTTGTGTGCCATCGACGTCCAAGCCCTCGCGTTACTGCTGTTGGAATATTGTCAGCAGACGCTCTGGTGTACACCTTGGATCCTCGTTCGTTGTGACAAGTCAAATTCCTACTCTCGTCTTGCCGAATGCTCATGTCTTCGGCGTGACACTGCCTGTGACTCATATTATTCCTCTGACTGATTCTTCAGCACTGCTTACGTCTTGGATGCTGGTAGTGTGGAATGGGGCGTGATGAACCTTGGTGTCATCTAATGTGCTGTGCCGTGTGACGTGCTGTCATGTGATACGGTGGCGTTGCAGTCGGAGATGGGCGAAGCCCGCATGGACGTGATCGACAGCGAGATCGCCTTCCTGGGGTACTACGAGTCTGAGAGCTACGGCCTTACCTGGAAGGTGAGAGCATTGCAATTTGACACCCTGTGTTTTTTGTTGTTGAACAACGTCAAGTGTCGAATAGTTGAGCAGAATGTATACGTACGAGCCAAAAGTTTGTTTTTGTTCCTGGACGGGGATGATGGTGATGGCCATACGATTAACGTCTGGTACACTAGATACGGCGGTATGAACGGAGGTTGACGCCCGCGCCGACTGTGCTGCTGTCGTTTCGAATACGTGATCTGGACGAAAATAGATGACTATTATAGCAGCCCTTGAAGCCAAGAAGAGGAGTCAAATGCTTTACTCCCCCGTGAATGCGTCAATTCTTGTCCGTGTGTTGCTGTCGTGTGTTATCAACGACCAGGTTCGCGGCTTCTGCATTGACAAGAGTAATCTCGATGTTTTCGACTTTGTCAACGTCTACGGCGACATGATCAACTCAAACATACACGACAACTGTGAGTCTTGCGTGTTGAATAAACGACACATTCTGTCACATTTGCTGCCGTGAACACCCGCGCCCGCTTTACTCGTTGTCGTCAACTGCTTCCATTGGGTTGATTCACTACTCTCCAGTGTCGTTCTGGCAATGTAAATGGCCTACGATTGTGTCCCGCTTGCTTGTTGGTTGTCGTGGCATCGCGTCACATGAGTTGTGGCGGCTTGTATCTGACTCGAGGAGTGTGCTGTGTGCTGTGTGCTGTGTCCTGTGTGCTGTGTGCTGCGTGCTGTGTGCTGTGTGCTGTATGCCATGGCCGCAAGTGAGTGTCATTGGAGGCTTTTGGCTTTTGGCTTTTGGCTTTTGGCTTTTTCAACGACTTGACTCGTTTGACATGACCCGGACGTCGGCTTGACTCGCTTGACATGACCCGGACGTCGTTGCTTTCTTGTGCAGACTTTGGCCACTACAGCTACGGTCATCAAGGAGGCAATTGGTCATACAACAAAATGCACGGTGAGTGCCCAGCAGTCAACACGAACACTGTCGCTATGGCTGACTCGATACGACTACATAGAGCAACGCCGTATTTTGCATTTGCATATATTTGCTCAGCGCCTGATACTCGAAATCGTTTTTTTTTTTTTAAAGCCGGTTGACAAGCCTGCCCTGACATGACTTTTGGGGCGTCCCGTAGAATCAAGGCCTGCACCTGCACAAGGGTGTGTGTGTATGCGTTTTCGTCCTATTTATTATGGCGACAGTCCCCCCATTTTTCGTGGTGAGACGTGAACTACACGTGTTTCAGTGTATGTAGTAGAGAGTACTACACTTTTCAGTGTATTGTTTCGTACAACTACATCCATCTAGGATCACACCGGGGTAGGGTACTGATAGATGAAACTTAGGCGTTGCGGCAGTACGAGCAACGCGTGCTATGCATACGCCCGGTGCCTGTGCCTATGCACATTGCCTACACATTGATACTATTGGCATGTCGGAATGGTTGCCGCTTTGCATGTCTCGCGCACTGCAGAAAACGTGGAGTACGGCTTCGATCCCCACGACGACAGCGACTACCTACACATCGTGGGAAACGACGTTTGGGAAAATGGTGAGCATGGTCACTTTCACCACGTTGTGTACTTTCACTCGTAGCACCGATGTTTAATTCTCTTGGTTGATGATGGCATGTAGTTCTGTTTTCTATTTTTTTGGCAGATTCTCGTTTTCACGCACCCTCTCGTAATTCACCGCTGTTATAGCATGACTCCATTTTCAGACTCCTGTTTTAGTAGAAAGAACGGTGTTTTACTTTACTTCAGTACAAATTTCGTATCTACAGTCGCGGACGTTGTTGACAAATCGTATCCGGAACTTCACTACGCGCATCCTATATCAAAACTTCGGTACCTCTCGTTTTTGCTTTTTCTTGTGGTTGCCATCGTAACATCGCATGTGTCATACCGTCACGATGTCACACCCCACAACGTTCGCCACACCGTCAGGCAACCATGGCATCATCGCATCCAAGCGGTGTGACCACGTGAGGATCACCGACAACCACGTCAGCTACGGGGTCAACACCGGGTTGTTCTTGCATCGCAGCTCCGACCACGCCATCGTCACCGGCAACCACGTTCACGACAACGGAGATGCTGGTATGGCCGTGCTAGAGTCTTTCTACATGAACGTCAACAACAACGTCTTCATAAAGAACCGCTACGGAATACGTTTCTCGGTGGGCTCTGGATATAACTGGGTGAGTGGAGAGAGCCACCTGTCACCGGACGGTAGATCCTGGCTGCGTTGCCCGCCTCCCTCGTCTATCTGGGAACGTAGGACGACGTGCGTGGTTCTTCATTGCCTTGGGCTGTAGGTGCAGCTGAACCAACCCTCTCGTATTTGTTTCAGGTTGAAGTCTGGGAAGCAATGAATGGTTGCAGCTATTAGGCCACTTTGTATTACAACGCTGCCTTTTTTTTCTTACCCCGCAGCAGGGCACAGATATGCACGGAACCCTACTTACTGTGTTGAGAATAACGTCATGTTCCCAACCAACGCGATATAAGCTGATTTGATGGGGATGACACCTGGACTGCTAGCTCGGTAAACACCGGCAACCGCTGTGGATGTTTGCATTTAGGTAGCTGGATGGCCCCTTTCCCGCATACAGCAGTACAGCAATGCCCGCGTTCTCTTTCTGTTTGCTGTGGCAAAGTCTACTCAAGTCTACGTTTGCCCGGTATGAAACGGTGTGGCTCGCGTGCCGCGCATGACCTGCCTGTCCTTAGCCACATTTCGTGTTGTGTTGGGTACTGCTGCAGCATCGCGCTATGTTCAACCTCCCCCCCCCTGAGGTGCAGATGGCAGCGGCCAAGAAAATATTAGGATGTTCAAGTACAACGAGCAACACTGTGTTGAGAGCAGAATTGGGAATGTACTCTCTTAAAACAAAGAGAGACATGCAGAAGTTGAATTGGCAGTACAAGGTAAGTAGAATGTCGGACGATAGACTACCAGCCATGGTTGACAGGGCAGTTTGGGGAAAAGCGACTCCAGGGATGAAGGGAATCAGATGGGACAAGGTGGTAGAGAAGGTTTGGAAGGAGATAGGAGACGAGGAGGAGACGTTGGACACGGAAGGGCTTGGGGGGTTCAAGACGAAAGTCAAGGAGATGCTAGAGATTAGGGAGGAGGCAACCCTTCGGAAGAAGGTACGAAGCGA